TTACTAATATATTATCCATGTGAAGCATTGAATAAGTAACTGGAATATAGTGTTCAAATCCCATTTCCTATGCTTTTGATGGAAATTTTATACATCTTCATCATAATATGTCTGGCAAAATTCAGAAGAGAAAAATTTGAAAAACAAATATTTGGCGAAGAAATATAAAGGAAAGTAGATATCCAATAGCATCAAATATTGAAAATCTCCATTGAGAAGTATATGTGATCTTTCATTCTACGTTGCTCCCTTGAGTGTGTGGAGTGTGGGTATGGGATGTGAATGTGGGTGGAGTGTGAGATGCGGGGTATGGATGGATGTGGGTGTAAGTGTGAGTGGGTGGACGTGGATTTGAGGGTATGGGGGTAAGTGTGGTTGTGGGTGCCATTGAAGGAAAGATCCACACCCACACACCCTTGTAATTTGTCGAAAAAATATATAAATTTTCATCAGTCATTCTCTCTTGCATAGTTAAATGATCACATGTAAATCCAGTATTAATAAATTCAAGTATTTATTTTACTAAATTTTATTGCAAATATAATAAGAACTAAGATGAATAGTCAAACAATTTCACCTATCTATGTACTATCTTTTTCAATAAGATCTATTTTAATTAATATAGTCGAGCGAAATTGTCGACATTTTTTATATTTAGGAAAATAAACTAAAACTTTAATAATAACCAAGACAAGAAAGATAATAATCATGACAATTAAAATCTACCATCGACAAGAAATAAAAAAGACAATCAATTGATTTTGTATTTAATCTAATCATCGAATTTCGTTGATTTAGGTCAATCAGGATAAAAAGTTGCTTGATCGAAATTTTTGAACATCGATCATTGAAATTTCTATCAAAGGAGCACGAAGACAATAGTTTGTACTTACTATTTTTTTTTATACATGTCATACATTCTTTTCTTGAACGCTCTAAACCATCATTCATTGTACCTGGTGGACAAAGAAGATAAGATCCAGAACCTCTTTCACTCTCCTGAAATCTATCGGCAATACAAGGTTCAGATGCATAAACTTTAATATATGAACTACCGACTATACGTCGAGTACAATGATTCGGTGGCCTAACTCGAATAAGAAGACCAACACTGATATCCAAAAGAATACCGAAATCAGATTGTCATGCAATAATATCATGAATTGTGTACAGTGATAGATGAAATAATGAAGGTAAATCAATTGAACCAATCATTTGTTGATTGTTGGAAAGTGTATAAAGCGGAATTTTAGGCAATGTCAAATCATGATAATAGTAGACATAAACCATTCTAACAGGATAATTTTCATTGTTTGAGAATAATGATTCCGAATTATCTAATACTTTTCGTTCCATCACACCTCAAATAATTTTATACACTAAAAAGTCTAGTATCCTCTGAGCTTCTATTCATGATATTTGAAATTTGTGAGTTATAGTCACTTGATGGGATTTGAAATTTTCCGATGCGTATTATTTTAAGACTACTGGGGCTGAAATCGATTCAGACTATATATAGTCGTGTTTTTCATGATCTGATACATCTCCAAACATGATGTCTTTTAGAATTCAATGACCTAGTAGAAGAGATATCGTGAAATATATCAGAAACAATATAGTCCTGAAAAGTCACTCTACTAAAATTCATTTAAGGTGAATTCCTGATTTCAGATACACAAGCGAATATCGCACAGTAGAATCCATTCTACCAAGCACTACATATGCAATTTATTGTTATTCAAAATTAAATGACATATAGAGTGTAATTTGTTTGCTACAAATTGAATCGAACATCAGTCATTTTCTTTTCTGTCAATCGACGTTCGATAATGTTACCTATTAGACAAAGCTATCGAAATTGAAAACTGGATTACCTAGCTTGGAGCAGTTTTTTAATCTCTCGAATTAAGGATGAAAATATCGTTTAATTAAATGATATACTAATCTAGAATGGGCCACAGAGGATCCAAATATTAATTTTGATACTTGATGAACGGTGTTCTACAAAATCCATTACAATTCAATGTTTCAAGTATTGGCTTACAGTTATATTTTCTTAAGTATAAATATAGCATTGATTAATATTTAATAAAATACTTGATAAAATTCGATTAGAACGAATTATTATCGATTAAAACTGTACAATTTCATACAGTTTTTAAGCTTCTTTGTAATTTTGCACTAAGAAATAAATAACTCTGGTGCGTTTTCTCTAAAATTTTTGTTTAACACATCCGATCCGATTCAGTTTTCTTAGAAAATTTTTTCGAGATGTTCATTTTCATGGACAGTCAGCTTCTAATAAATGCACTTAATGGCCTTTTCGTTATCTTCTACTGATTATCTATCGTTCTCTTCTGTATATCACTATATAATGAGTCATTTTTTTCTGACCAACTGAATAATCGCTCAAGTTACTTTTTCGCTCTTTTTCATATTATACGAAGCGTGTGCGAGAAAAGGAAGGGAGTTCCAGCTTTTTCTCCGTTATTCTTTTCTCTCTATCGTCTTGTATATAAATACGACTGAAATTTTGGAACAGTTCACATGTCGTTTGAAGAAACTGATATAGAAGATAGCGCTAACTCACTTAGTGAAGTGAGTTCTCTGGACGATGATTTTGATACAATGCATCTTGAATCTTACAGTTCTGACGAAGAAGTTACTGATGATGGCGTGGATTAACATACTTGGAATGAAATAGAACCAGAATCCGACGCACAATTCTTGTTAAAATATAGTGGGGTCCACCGATGGACCCCATCGGACCCAATGGGTTAACAAATGAAACAGACAACAAAATATTTTATTTATAATCGAAATAAATAAAGATTAGCGTTTTTTTTCTTTGATTCAATTTTAGAAATTTTAATCTTGTTCATATAAAACTACCCTGCTTTTTCTCC